TCTGACCTAGTTTTTGTCAATCAATAGGCGTGAGAGGCCATAAAGTCGCTACTGACTTTTCTCAAACTTATTTAAAAATAGACAGCATTTTTATTGAAATTTGTCGTTGCGTGGAAGCTAAAAATATTTTTTCTGTACATTCTCATTTATATTTTGACATTGAAATATATGTTTTCAACATGATCCCCATAATAATTGTACTCCACTGTATCTGTGACTGAGCAAGAGGCCCCTCAGTTACACTCTGCATGGCAAATCCTGCTCTCTCCTCCGTGGGTACAAAGGGGGTGTATATATATAAAACTAGCATGGTACATTCCTTACAATCAGAAAGAAAAGAAAAGTAGAGCTGGCAGCTGAATGTTTTAATCAACATTTTGCATTAAAATTGACATTTCCCCTCAGTAAAAATTAAATCTGATCAATATGTTCTGTATAATTCCTGTCCTCTTTGTAGCAAATCTTTGTTGAATTAATAGCAGCACAAATGGCTCATCACCCAAACCTGTCATATTACGTTAAGACACTTCTCCTGTAAACCACACTCTGCTGATGAGAAAGCATTATTACTTTGATTGTGTGTTACAAAATCAGTTTGGACGGGATTGCAGAAAGCACGTCAGTTAGTAAAGAGTCATTTTAATAAATGCAAAACTAGTGATGATGCAGCAATAAGGCTGCAAAATCAGCACTCAAAAGTCAACACATTCCAAAAGTTAAGGTTTTTCCTTCAGTGTTAGCTTAGCCACATTGTACTTACTCAAATATACAGTTTGTTACACCATGCAGTAATAATCAGCCACTACAGTCTCTATGCAGTACTTAGTGCTAAAATCAAACTGATTCCCACAGTATTCTTGCCAGCAAGTTAAAGAAGTATGGGCTGGATGAATGGACTATCAGGTGGATAGAAAGCTGGCTAGATCGTCGGACTCAACGGGTATTGATCAACGGCTCCATGTCTAGTTGGCAGCCCGTTTCAAGCGGAGTGCCCCAAGGGTCGGTCCTGGGGCTGGTTTTGTTCAGTATCTCCATTAATGATCTGGAGGATGGCA